TTTTCAATTGCATACTCTCAGTACATTGGCATCCCATCTTGAGTTCTTTATTTTAGGTTTGTATCTGCAGTAATATGAGTGTAGAAAACTGTAAATTATAGGATTAAGCAAAAGAATAAACATATGAGGAATTACATTTTCACTATGGAAGAACAAGAATATGACTATCAAGTATGAAGAGTAAGAATTCTGGGCCTAGCGTGATGGCTCAGTGACTAAAGCCTTGCCTTGCATCCACCGAGATCATATATGGGCACCACTTTATGTCCCAGCTGCTCCACATCCCATGTAGTTCCCTGCTCGTAGCCTGGGAAAGCAAAGAAGGATGGCCCAAAGCCTTGGGATTCTATGCCCATCTAGGAGTCCCAGAAGAAGCTCCTGACTTCTAGCTTCAGACTGGCTCAGCACTGAACGTTGCAGCTACTTGGGGACTGAACCAGCAGATGGAAAATATTTCTATCTCTCCTTTCTGTAAATCTGCCTTTCCAATTAAAATAAAATCTTTTTAAAAAAAATTTATATTAGAATAAAATTCATGGCCTGATATTTATGGTTTCTCAAATATACACACATAGCCTTTGTTATATTCATTGGAAAGGACTGGACACATGACGTTCCAGCAGCAACAACCACACTAGCATTTACTTCTTGGTTTCTAAATACCATTTCCAGGGCCTGCCTCTGTGGCTTAACAGGTAAAGCTGCCACTTACAGCAGTAACATCCCACATGGGCATCAGTTCCTGCTGTCAGCCCACTTCTAATCCAGCTCTCCGTTAATAGCCTGGGAAAATCACCAGAAGATGAGTGCTTTGGCCCTGGCACCCACATGGGAGACCCCAAAGAAGACCCTGACTCCATTGTAGCCTTTTGGAGACAACAGCAGATGGAGGATCTCTCTCCTCTCTCCTCCCTCCTCTCTGTAATTCTGTCTTTGAAATAAATAAATCAAAATAAAAATAAATAAATAATAAATAAAAGCATTTCCAAAGGTAAAGGAAATGACAGTTCCTGGAGAAATGGATGATTTTAGCGTTAGCAAAGGGATGAGCTAAGTTTAAAGTAACTTGTGGGATGGGTATTGTGGTTTAGAAGGTAAAGCCAATGCATAAGACATTGGTAACCCATGTGGGCATCAGTTCAAATTCTGGCTTTTCCACTTGGTCCAGTCCCCTGCTACTGTGCCTGAGAAAAGGAAAGTCATCTGTGTTTGGGCTTCTCAGCCATGTGGGAGATCTGGATGAAACTCCTGGCTTCAGCCTGTTCCAGTTTTCACCAGCTGACAATCAATGAATAGATCTCTCTCCCTGCCCATCTCTCTGTTTAACTCTGCCTTTCCCTGTCTCCCCTACTCTCTGTAAACCTGCCTTTCAAATAAATAAACAAAATTTTTAATAAAGCATACCAAGAATCATTCCAGTTGGTAAAGCATGAGCTAAATAATGTACTTTAAACACTAAGCAGTTTATGACAATGTAGAGATATAATAAATTGTTGAACTTTGAATGTTAACCATTTTATAAATAGGGAAGATTATCATTATTCAGGTGCTCTTATGAGAGCATTAAAAATACATGTAGGGCCCGGCGCGGTGGCGCAAGTGGTTAAGTCCTCGCCTTGCACGCCCGGGATCCCATATGGGCGCCGGTTCTAATCCCGGCAGCCCCGCTTCCCTTCCAGCTCCCTGCCTGTGGCCTGGGAAAGCGGTCGAGGACGGCCCAAGGCTTTGGGACCCTGCACCCGCGTGGGAGACCTGGAAGAGGCTCCTGGCTTCGGATCGGCATGGTATCGGCCCGTTGCGGCTCACTTGGGGAGTGAATCATCGGATGGAAGATCTTCCTCTCTGTCTCTCCTCTCTGTATATCCGCCTTTCCAATAAAAAATAATAAAAATAAATCTAAAAAAAAAAAAACAACATGTAGGACTGAATCATTATCTCAGAGTTCAAGTCAATAAATACACATTATATAGATAGCACGAACTGCTCAAGGCATTGTAATCAGGCAATACAGTCTGGTCAAAACAAGCATCTGAAATTGTAGAAGGTCTACTTTTAAAAAGAATGTAATAAATAAAATTTAGGACTAAAAATTTCTTCTCTCAATTCTATTTTTTAAATTTATTTTTATAGAGAGGAGAGACAGAGAGAAAGTTCTTCCATCTGCTGGTTCACTCTCCAAGAGGACAAAATGACCAGAGCTGAGCTGATTTGAAGCTAGGAGCCAGGAACCTCTTTACGAGACGGGTCTCCCACATGGGTGCAGGGTCCCAAGGCTTTGAGCCATCCTCTCCTGCTTTCCCGGGCCACAAGCAGGAAGCCAGATGGGAAGTGGAGCAACTGGTACATAAAGCAGCACCCATATGGGATCCTGGCACATGCAAGACGATGTTTTAGCCACTAGGCTATTGTGCTGAGCCCTATAATTTATTTCATTAGACAATTTGGATGACAAGTTAACTATTTCAGCCATTGTCTGTAAAGCAGTTTTAACTCACATTTAGGGTATATTTATAATCAGGTAACTATTGTAAATAATAAAATTCATTTGAGATGCAAAGAACAGAGAACAAACAAGCTGTCATCCTCACATTTCCAGAAGTGCCAATGAAGGTACAGGCCAGGTGGGGACCAAAGACAGAAGCCAGGAAGCACAATCCAGGTCTCCCACATGGGATGGCAGGAACCCAATCACTGGAGCAACTGCCACTCCCTCTCCAGGTCCATTAGCAGGAGGATGAAGTCAACAGGCTGAGCTGGGCATTAAACTACAGCCCTCAGACACCACACCAGGTCACACACCTACCTCAGCACTGGTTCTATTCTTAAGCAACAATAGTCATCACAGAGATTAGTTTATGCTGGGATTTTTCTTTTTAATCTAATCCCTTTGTACATAAATCAATCTCTAATAACTCTTACGCAAAGAATTACTTTTTTCAAGCCTGTTGAATATTACTGGGAAAATTCAATTTATTCATTTTAATGTTTATATTCATTTGAAATGTACAGGAACAGAAAGACTTCCATTTCTCTTCCACCAGTTTACTTTTTTTTTTGTTTTTAGGTTTTTTTGTTTTGAGAGAGTGAACCCAGTCCCCCACTACCGCAAATTATGCAGTTGAGTTTCACAAATCGCAGGGGCCAGCACAGCTCAGGTGCAATGGATGAGCCTCGCCCTGGGAAAACCACCTGCATGATCATGGTATCCCCCCGCCAGGTAAGCATCACCGGTTTCCTTTCAAATGCCTGCTAAGGGCCAGGGATAGCTAAGAATGCAATCCCAACCAGGCAGCAGGAACCTCATCACGTAAGCCTTTCCCTACTGACTTCTATGGTGAGCATTAGCAACATCAGGACTCCATTCCAGGCCCTCTGACATGGGATAGCAGGATCCCACCTGGCATCTTAACCTTGATGCACCTGCCCCCCCCGCCCCCACTTAATATAAATCACCAAGCACCCTTCGACGGGACTGAGAACTTGAGAACTGTGAAGAGCAATGAGAGTTAAGAACTCAACAAACGTATTACAGAGGTTATGTGAAAGATCAGCTCTCAAGCTCCCATTCCCAGACATGACACACAGGAGGAAACATCTATGCTAAGCACCCGGAGAAACTTGTTTCCTTGACTCTGTATTAAAAGAACTGTCAGCCTTCATGTGTCCAATATTTTCTGAGTGCAAAATAAGTCCCAATCTCTGTGCAAGGCTAGCAGGATCAATAGCTTGGGTCTCTTCCTCAAACAATTCACAATATAGTAGGCACAAAAACACAGGTGGCAAATGATAGCGTAACTCATTAACAATAACAAAAACAAATGCAGGCAGGTAAAATGTGAAATACTGCTCTTTGAGAAGTAACATAATTCCAACTAGTACCCATTCATTTTCAAAAGGCCTGGTGGAAATCATTTCTGTAAGCTTAGCACACACACAAAAAATCCTATTCCAAAGGACAATCTCATGGTTTCAATACTCTAACACACGGCACCTATGTGACTTAAGCTTGTCCCCAACCAGGCCAAGCCTTAGCTACCTCATCTCAAAAGGTCAGTTTTATCTTATCACTTAAACCTGAATCATCACTTTTTCTTTTTTAAGCCTGAATCAGCCTACCAGCATAAACTAAATGTTCTCTCTGCTAGCTGTTCCGGGTCAAAGATCGCCGAAGTCATACACTTATCTATGGGATTTCCACAAGTCATCAATAGGGAACTAATGAGCTAGAAAAATTATTGTTCAACCGACAGTTTCTGTGCTGTACTTTAAAAGTTAGACACTTGAAAACCAGACTGCAGAAGCTGTGAGGCATTCTTACAGAGATGAACAAGAATAACAAAAATTTCAGCTGTGAGCCTTTCTAGTACAACTCCAGGGTGCATTTTCTACCGGGAATCGAGTTTTCCCACTATCAGAACCACGCCTCCTAGGGAAATCAAGGAGACACCAAGAAAAACCTCCTTGATATGCCAGAAGAGATAAGCTAAGTCAAGCTCCCCACCACCAATAAATAAATAAATGGATAAAGGGGCAGAGCTGTTGAAGCTGTTTTTTTTTTTCCTTCCCCTCCAGCTATGCAGCTGCACCCACAAGAGAAATAGCAGATTAGCATCATCTGCATTTCATTCCTTTTCTTTTGCAATAGTTCCTCGCCTATGATAAACAGACCCAGTGCTCAGGGGAGAATTTCCTTTCCCGTCCAGTTAAAACGAAGTTCCTTATTTTCACTAACCTCGGCTTCTCCAGTCGACACCCACCCTCCCCGGGGAGACCAGGCCGCCTCTCCTCGCCACCCCTCCACAAGCCTGACGCCCCACACGCTGGAAATCGCCCCACTTTCTGAAGCCCTCTGGGCGGGTGACCAGGCTCTGGGGAGGGCGGAAGGGCCAGGGCGCGGCGTGCAGAGCAGGGGGAGCCCTTCAGCCCGGCCAGGGAGCGCCCTGCAGCTCCGCCGGGCAGGGGGCGTGCGGGGGTGGAAAGGGAGCGCCACCCCCACTTACCCACTTTGTCCTTCCCGTACATGTGCCCGGCCACCTGATGCGAGAGGGGCACGCAGCCGTTGAGGAAGCGGAGCCTCCCGCCCGCCGGCGGCTGCGGGGTGCCTTCGGGGGCGGCCTCGCTGGCCGGTGGGGTCCGCATTTCTGGGGCGCCGGGCGCCTCGAGCCGAAGGGGGGATGGCGGTTCCGTTGCCATAACGGAGCGTACAAGCAGCAGCAACAGCCAGAGCAGGGGGGAAAAAAAAATAGGGCGGAGGGAGGGGGCGCCGGAGAACCGGGGGTCGCTCAGGCTCGGCCGCCCGGAGGCCCGGGGGTTCCCGCGGCTGGTGCCCGCTGAGGCCCGGGGAGAGGGTCCATGACGCCGCGGAGGCGCCCGGCGCGCCCCTGCCCAACTCCCGGCAGAGCGCGGTCCCGGCTCCCGCGCCTCAGCCGCCGCGGCCAGCAGCCCCGGCGCTGCCCTGCACACGGAACCGAGCAGCGCAGCGGCGGCAGCGGCGCCCCGCGCTCCCTGGGGCCCTGACGGCGGCGGCCCCACCTCCCGCGCCCCCGCCCCCTCCCGCCGTCCTCCAGTCCCCTCGGCTGCCGCGCGCGCGTCAGCACCGCCTGCTCGGCCGCCGCCAGCTTCCGACTGCGCGACCCGCGGCCGCCGCCGCTACTGAGCATGCCCAGAGGCCGCCCGACGGGACCCCCGCGGCAGGCCGGCACCGGGTGACCAGGGGCCGGGGCCCAGGAGGTCCTGCTCCCGAGGGGCCGGGGCCCGTGCCCAGGAGGTCCTCCCCCCGGAGGGGCCGAGTCCGTGCCCAGGAGGTCCTGCCCCGGAGGGTGCCCGGAGGTCCTCCCGAGGGCCGGGTCCGGCCCAGGAGGTCCTGCTCCCAAGGCTGGGCCGGGTCCATGCCAGGCCCGTGCCCAGGAGGTCCTCCCCCCGGAGGGGCCGAGTCCGTGCCCAGGAGGTCCTGCCCCGGAGGGTCCGAGCCCGTGCCCAGGAGGTCCTGCTCCCGAGGGGCCGGGGTCCGTGCCCAGGAGGTCCTGCTCCCAAAGGGCTGGGGCCGGGGTCCATGCCCAGGACGAGCCCGTGCCCAGGAGGTCCTGTCCCCGGAGGGGCCGAGGCCGGGGTCCGTGCCCAGGCGGCCCTGCGCCCTCATTCATTCAAGGCGCGTTTCAGGGCTTCCCAAGGGTTGGCTCAGAGATGGCCCCGGGGGAGTTGGGAAGGGCAGCCAGGTGTGTGGGGGAGGCCACCCTTCACCTGCAGCCAACTCCTACCCAGCACGAAAACAACAGAAGTTTTTTTTTTTTTAAACGTGTTTTCAAACGACTCGCAGCCTTCTCCACGACTGCTGTTTAGAAACAGGCTTGATCCAAAACGTTAGAACTGACGCGCAAGCTGCAGAAGACACAGCCCTAATTACGGGGTCACGAGGAAAGCAGCAGCATTTGATTTTTTTTTTCTGACACTCTGTTCCAAGGTCTTGAGCACGAGACTAACTCAAGTGCAAGGCACAGCAGCAGCGAAGGGGGAATTCTGGAATGGGACTTTATTCCCCCATCCCACTGCCGGCACGGGCATCATACGGGAGAACTGGACCTTGCCCTACCGCTAAAACAGAAACTGAGCGAGAACCTTCGGGGTAAAAAAAAAAAAGTCAGATACCTGCTGTCGTTGGTAGGCAAGTGCCCTACAAACACCTGTGCTCCGCCGCCCCACACACCTGGAGGAGACGGAAAATCCGGCCTGGACTCCGGATTCTCGAAGCCCTGCGCCCGGGCTCCACGGCCCCGCCCCCTCCGCCGTGCGCAAACTCAGTAGCTACCCCGTTCGCTCCCTCCCTCCTCCCCTCCCGCGGCTGTCAAAATCCGGGCTCCACTTCCTCAAGGCCCGGGGCGGGGGTGAGCAAGGAGGGCGACGGCGCCGCGCACGCGCAGCACCCACCGGCCTGGCTCGCTCTCACACACGTGCTGACGGCCCGGCTTGGCGCCTGCGCAGTAGCTTTCCCCGGTGTCCGTGCCCTTAGGACGGCTCCAGTACCTTTAGCTGCGGACGCCAACGGGTTTGCGCTGAGTGTAGTGTGCACACGCGCTTGGGTGACGGCACCATGAGTCTGACTTCGAACTCCAGCATCCGAGGTGAGGTGGGGCCTGGGAGAGGGTGAGGCCGGCGGCCTGCGCACCGCTGGCCCATCTGTCCTGCGCACCGGCCGGTCCAGTCACCTTGAGATTGCAGAAGGGCAAGGCAGCGCCTGGCCGGGCCGCGCGTTCTGAGGGGGCGAGGTCGGGCACGGGGTGCTGGTGCCACCGGCCACAGCAGGGTGGGACCATGCAAGCCTTCTGCTCAGCCGTTCCTCTAATGACCCCGCTGCTAGGGGTCCTTAAGCTAATTCGCTTTTCTATCTTTACGTCTCAAAAAGGAGGCGGGGTGGTGGGGGAGATGTTCTCCCCTCTCACGTGTAGAACAACGTGTAACTGCAAAGTCCGTTTCCTTCTATCCCGAAGCGGTGCATGACTAATCACATTCTTAGTTTTGCAGAATATTTGTTTTTTCTTTTTTAAACGGAAAGAAACCCGATCCGAGGCCCCCGGTGTTCCCTGTTTTTTGTGATGCCTCTGGCGCTCCCTGGCACTGATCCAGAAGGGAGGATTGGCTGCTGGGCCCGCCGCGCCCTCAGCTTTCTCAGCCTTCCTACCTGGTGCTTGGAAGCAAAGCTTGGCAGAACAGCCCGTCAGAGTTTACAGAATTGGTTGAGCGTGGGGTTCCACTTTATAACAGTTCTTGGCGATGTTGTAATTGTTTAGGATTGTCTCCTAGTGACATGATAGGTTTGCTCGCCCTGCCCACATATGAAATGCCACTCCCCAAGGCTTGGTTACCTGTAACTCTGGTTGAATAAAGATGCAGAGGTCATCCAGAAGTTAAAATTTAACCCCTCTGATTCAGTCAGTGAGTACTGAGACTCTAGACCAGGTTCTGGAAAGCCATCCCTACTGCTTTGAGCCCTCATTTTATAATACAGAAGCGGGTTCCAGAAATGGAGGTGTTCTGCTTATGATGATCAAATTTGAGGGTGATGCTTCCTGGCCTATTCTGAGTAGCTCATGCTGAAGAGGTGATTTGCTGCAAAAATAAGGATACATTGGTACATTTCAAATACAGAGTGGTTTACTTATGGTTCTTTAAAACAAGAAAACCTGTTTTCTTGAGAGTAAGACTATATTTTGTCTTACAGTGGCTTGTGCTGTTGATAGTTTTATAGGAAGATTATTGGCACATGTGTAAGATGGACTGAAAAATTCCAAAATTTGGGTTCAGTTTTTCCAGGTAGCACACTCTGGATATGAAATAGGACTTCTCATCGCTGTCTGAGGAGTGATCTTCACTGTACTCAAATGAGTTTCTTGTTTTTTAAGTATAGCCATAAGGGAATTCAGAAGTGACGCTTTTGCTAGTTGGCACCCTACAGAGCTGGAAATTGATGAAGCAGGTTATGAGCTTAAACTGACAATGTTCAGCTTTGGGGTTTATTTCACTAAAAAACATGGAGGTTATGAACCCTGTAAGGAGAGTCCCATGGCCCTTGTAAATCTCTTACCTGCACCTGCCTAGTCAGAAACAGAGAAGTCTTGGGAAGCTAGCTGTTAATGTTTAGTTCTCATAAAAGTTTGATTGTGCTGATAGTTTTTAAAACATTCCTATGGGTTGGGCAGCCATTTAGGTCTCTTAACTGGGGAGGGGCAGGAATGATCATATATTAACTAAAATTAGAAAAAAAATCATAAAAAGATGTGGAATATTATGTAACAATGGTAAGCACATTATCCATATAAGTTGGATAAAAAGTTGAAAGTGTGAATATGCATATAGATTCTTCTTTATGTTCACATGAGAAATGAGTGTGTTATAAATGAAAACTAGTTTTCAGCCTCAAATCACTCGTAGTTCACCATCTTCCTTAGCCTGCCTTCCGTTCAACTCACCTGTTTCACACTTTGCTTTACCTTCAGGTTCCAAAAGGATGTTCCTCTGTCCACACAGCCCACACCCTGGTCCTTGTAACATAAACAGCCAAAATAGCATCTCATAAATTGTTATTCTCTGACTTTTCTAGGTTTGTGTATTTTATTGAAATGAATTCCTGATTTCCAAATTCATTTCATGTCAACATAGGAAAAACACTATCTTGTTTCAGCAGATTAACTAAGCCATTTACAATCATCATTCCGAATAGGAATGGGTAACATTTTCTCTGTAAGGGACATTGGCTACTTGCATCACTCACGGAACATACAAAATTATCAGTTTAAAAATTACCTGCTCTGGGCCTGGCATGGTAGCCTAGTGGCTAAAGTTCTCGCCTTGTACCCACTGGGATCCCATATGGATGCCGGTTCTAATCCCTGCACTCGCGGGAGGTCCGCAAGAAGCTCCTGGCTCCTGGCTCCTGTCTTCGGATTGACTCAACTCTGGCCATCATGGCCACTTGAGGAGTGATTCAGTGGATGGGAGATCTTCCTCTCTGTCTCTCCTCCTCTGTGTATCTATCTGACTTTCCAATAAAAATAAATAAATCTTTAAAATATTTAAAAAGAAAATTACCTACTATAGATGTGTAGCAGTGGTTGCCTTGGTAGGGCCAAAGCACTAATTTCAAGGCCCTCATATGACCTGGAGGATGGAAGGTCCCTATTCCGGTAAAGAGTTCATTTTCATCCAAGAAGGAATATGCAGATCATACTAAGGGAAGAAAGAAATATAACTCCTACAGATTGTGAAAAATAAATGAATAAATGAAGGGTTGGATTTAGAGTAAGAAATGAGACAAGATTGGCCACTATTATTGGAGCTGAGAGAGGTAAATGGAGATTCATTATGGTGTTTGTGCGTGTCTGAGCTATTCCAGATAGTAAAGGTGGGTTGTTGTTATTTTCAATCTCAGGAAGTCAGTTCCACATTTTGATACAGTAAATTAAGAAGTTGACAGACAGGTCATTTTTTTCTTAGAGCAATGTGGTGGTAGGATTGACAGATTGACCTGCACAATCAAATAAATGAATCCTACAGGGGCTAGTGTGATAGCTCAACGAGCTAATCCTCAGTTTTGGTAGTACTGGTATCCTATACAGGCGCTGGTTCGGGTCCTGATTACTCCACTTCCCATCCAATTCCCTGTTTGTGGCCTAAAGCAGTCAAGGATGCCCAAAGCTTTGGGACTCTACACCTACATGGGAGACCTGGAGGAGGCCTATGGTTCCTGGCTTTGGATTGGTTCATCTCTGGCCATTGTGGCCATGTGGAAAATGACCCAGCAGGTGGAAGATCTTTCTTTCTCCCTGTAAATCTGTCTTCTCTCTTTCCAACAATAATAAGTAAATCTTAAGATGAAAGAAATACACAAATGAATCACACTTTATTTCCTGAAACTTTTCAATGCTGATTGTATGCCAGACACAGCCTGCCAATGTATAACCACAGCAACAACAGGAAAGCCTCGCCAAGCCCAAGCTACTAATCAGCAAGATCTAAGGGAAGGGTTCAGTAAGAGTTCCCCTCCCCCCTCCTAAAGGAGAACATTCTGATTCTATGACAGTTGACGGCACACAGTGGTGAGCAGTTTGGGGCAGAAAAGGGGCCACAGGGAAAGAAGAGAGGTAACATTTCTGTCTGAATTATAGCACAATAATCCTCACAGTAAGAAAATTAGGGAAATGGGTCATAAACAAAGGCTTGGGATTTAGGGGTAAATCTGTGCCTTTTCAATCTCTGAATAATGTTAAGAGTTTAATAGTATAGACCAAGGAAAGAGTAAGAAAAGAGGATTTGTTTTGAAATGTTGCCTATTATCTGTATTTTTGTTCTTTATTGGTATTTATGTAGATAGAAAGCATTATTGAACGAAGTTGGATAAAGCATGGATTACTCTAATTCCAGTCATCTCTATACCTTGAGAAGAAAATGAGAATAAACCAGAAGTAAAAGTCATGCTCTAGATTTTTCCATACCTGAGTTCTAGGCCATTGTTGAAAAGGTGCCAACTGAAATATCCTGAAAAATTGATCTTGACAAAGTCCTTTGGTTACCTCCAAGTTGTGGCTATTCCTGATATACATCCACCCTACTAAGAGCTTCATACTACTTGCGTTTTTAGGTTTTCAGTTCTTTCTCTGTTTACTGGCTTTAGATTTTGTCATCTGCTTGTTCCTTGGATCTCAGGAGTTTTTACAATATGGTAGCAACGTTAAAGCAAATATTAGTGAGTACTTAATTAATTCACCAAAAAACTAAGGTACGACCAAGATCAAACAGTGTCTAAGGAGTTGTGTTATTCTAGTCTTAAGTTTGTACTATGAACAACATCAGCAAACATTGTACACTATGCAAAGCAATGTTTAGTCCATTGGCTTATAATGTGGATACATTACCTACTCAGAATGGTTGTCCATTAGCTGAGAAGTGAATTGCTATAGCATCTGACGTAGGGAATATTGTCAGGAAAGTTCGTTCCATCGTAAGTAATGCATCAGATGGAAAGAATTGAATCCCCCTAAAAGTCACCACAGCAGCACTATTTGGAGTTGCTGCAAGGTAATGCCACTGAGCAGCATTAAACTTCAAGACAAATGTGCACGCATGAGTATTTAAAAACATACTCTGATGAGGCCAAAGGTTTGTGGCTGTCAAGTAAATTAAGCCTCTTTCTCATTCATACTGCACTCAGGAACACACAAACACCAGTTAATATTTGTAGCAAGGGGGAAATGCAAATGTAGTGGGAAGAAAAACAGCCTAAAGTGCTTTGTAAAGAAAAATGTTACTGTAGTTGACATTGAAAATAGAATATGGAGAATATGGTAATTCAAAAACTTTTATCAAAACTAAATTATTAAATAAACTATGCAAAACAAGACCATGATCAAAGGAAAGAAGTGTGGGAATGTTTGCTCCTTTCCATTAGAGATTTGGAAGACCGAGCTTCAGTTTTATGTAATCGTGAAATAAGGAATTTGACTCAGTAACGTCAATAATCCATCCAACTAATTATTCCTTGTGTGTTTCTATCCCATTGGAATGTGTGTGTGTGTGTGTTTTTTTTTTTTTTATCTCTAGGGCTTTGTTTGCTAGTCTGGGAACTTATTTCAGAAACCGAAGATCTGACTCAGGAAGTGCTGGGAAGCAGTGATGTGTGTTTATTCTGACCCCTGTTCAACTTCTTCCTGCAGCCCACTCCATGCCCGGAATAGACAACTCTTCTCTGAGACTGAGGCTAACCAGATTATGCAGAAATTTCTTCTCTCCGTCCTTGCCTGGAGCTGGGGTAGTTGTTAAGCACTTGGGTTTCTAAGGATCCCTTGAAAAGCCACACAAAATACATGGCCTGTTAGTCCAACAAGTATTTTTACTATCATTATTAGAAGCAGAATAGTGTTATTAAATTTAAAATGAGGTTTGTAGGGTATTCAGATAATCATCCACTTGCAGAAATTCCAAATTTAGAATTTATTGAGAATGTAACTATAATTATATGAATCATGTTTTCTACAAAGCATATTAGTATATTCGATTTTGTTTCAGTTATGAGAAAGCAGTTTGGTATTTTACAGAACTATAGATTTTTGACTGGTTTGGAAACTGTAATCCGGTAAAATATATTCCTTTGAATGTTTTCTTTAAAAGGTGGTTTTATTTGTCCTTTTTTGTTGTTGCTGTTTCTTCAGCTACAATTCTATTTGTAGTTATACTCTGTGTGGTGGTTATAACTGAGTTTTTGTAAATTCACTCATTTAAAAATAACATGGGGATTTTACTGTTTAAGTGAATTGTAATGAGTCATGTTTGCTGACATAATCACCTCCTGATTTGGCTTTAATTTCTAATCTGAGTTTTTATGTTTCATATTTGAAAATATGTGTTTATTTGTTTATTTAGTCTGAAGGTCACGGAGAAAGGAATGGAATGGATGACGGAGAGGTTCTTCTAGTCTCTGGTTCACTCCCCAGGCTGTTACAGTGACTGGGTCTGGGCCAGGCTGAAGCCAGGGACTCATGTTACAGTGCCTTCCCAGGAAAGTTAACCGGGAGCTAAATCTCAAGTGGAGCAGCAAAAGCCTCCATCCAACTAGCATCCTAACATGAGGCCCTGGCATTGCAGGTGGAAGTTTAAGTTGCTGAACCACTCCATATTTTTTAGATAATAGGTACATGAAGACACATACAGGTTTTTTTTTTTAAGCTTTATTTCTATTGGGAAGTCAGATTTACAGAATGAAGGAGAAACAGAGAGGAAGAGCTTTCATCCACTCGTTCACTCCCCAAGTGGCCACAACGGCCGGAGCTGAGCCAATCCAAAGCCAGGAGCTTCTTCTGAGTCTCTTATGTGGGTGTCCCACGGCTTTGGGCCATCCTCTCTTGCTTTCCCAGGCCACAAGCAGGGAGCTGGAAGGGAAGTGGGGCAAGGGGAATACGAACCAGCGCCCATTTGAGATCCTGGTGCTTGTAAGTGGAGGACTTTAGCCACTAGGCTACCACACCAGGCCCAACACATACAGTTTTTAAAACCCTTTTATGAGCGCATTTTCAAAGATTAGGCCTTGTTTTTTCCTCCTCAAATTTTAAGTTTCTCTCTTGTGTCACTGACTAGAACACACAATCTCTCAGGGAAGGCAGGGGAAAGTTTTAACAATAGTTATTACACCAGTAGTTCTAGTCATTTTGGTAACATTGAAGATTTTCTTTGAGGGTTGGGATGCTCAATACTGAAAAATTGCTTTATGATCATTCATGTTAGGTAACTGGTGTGGATTTGGGTTCTGATCATTATTCCTGCTCTCCTTCCCTCTAGTTGAATGGGTTGCAGCAGTTACCTTTGCTGCTGGCACAGCGGCACTTGGTTACCTTGCTTACAGAAGATTCTATGTGAAAGATCACCGCAACAAAGCCATGGTGAACCTTCACATACAGAAGGACAACCCTAAGGTAGTGCATGCTTTTGACATGGAAGATTTGGGAGACAAAGCCGTGTACTGTCGTTGCTGGAGGTCCAAAAAGGTGAGGAAAAATGATTGTATCAAACTTATGTCGCCAGACACTATTAAAAAATGTCTCTTTCCTCCTTCCTTCTTTCTTAATGGATTCCATTCTCCTGCTTTTCCATATACTCTTTAGGAATGTGTTTACCAAGATACATTAACACTCTGTAGCAAAATTACATTAAACCCTCTTTGAGTTCAAGTGAATGTAGCCATGTTCTTGGCCAAAGAAGAGAGAAAATCCCATCTTAATTTACTGTGAAGATTTCCTTCCCAAGTAGATCTTAGCTTCCGTTACCCAGGAAACAAAATGCACAGCCTAAACACGAAAGGAAGCAAGAAGTTCTTTTTTCTTTTTCTTTCTTTCTTTTGTGTGTGTGTGTGTGTGTGTGTGTGTGTGTGTGTGTATGTGTGTGAGTTCTCAGGCTTTGACTACTGAAACACATTTTTAAAATTTACAAAAGAAAGTTTTTAAAGATTACCTTTAGAAATTTCATATTTGGTAAATATCACAAGCCTTATTTCAGCTACAGCTCCTGTAGCCAAATGTCTAACAAGGTAGGATTCTTATTAAGCACCTTATTTTCTTATATGAGAATTTCATCGAGTTCCTTGTGGCAATCTCATCTTTGATGCCTGCAGGTTCAAACAAGATGGTACCTAGTGATCAAAAGAGGGTAAAAATCCTTTCCCAAATCATCTTGCAAGTATTATTATGCGATTATTATTATAGTATTATTATACAATTTCTGGTGAATCATAAGAAATTTGATATAAACACTGTTTCACAAAAAAAAACAACATTAAAAGGCTCCCCCAATAAAGAAACCATGAAAATTATGTATCTTTTGAGTGTTTTGTTTTGGAGTTTTTGGTTTGTTTGTTTTTAGATTTTTATTTATTTCAAAAGGCAAAGTCTGAGAAAGGTAGGAGGAAAGACAGAAGTGGATCTGCTGGGACTTGAGGTGGCACTCAGCAGCTTAACTTGCTGTGCCACAACACTGGCTCTGACATACACTCTCATTGTGGCATTGCAGTATGGTGGGCCTGCTTGCATGTGATGCAGGATTTGTGAAAAAGTTCTCAATGGTGGGGCTAGGCTCTCAGAAATAGATATGTCAGGGACAGTGTTTGGAGTTAAGTTGCCACCTGCGATTCCAGCATCCCATAGCTGAATGCTACTCAAGTCCTAGCTGGTTTATTTCGGATGCACTTGGGAAGACAGCAGAAGACAGTCTAAGTCCTTGAACTCCCACCACTCATAGGGGAGGCCCAGGTGAAATTCCTGGTTCACTGACCATTGCAGCCACTTCTGAACCAGTGGATGAAGAGTTCTCCCTGTCCCTCATCAGTGTGCTGATTTCTATCTCTAACCCCGATACCCCCACATTACATCCACATTGAGATTATCTGCTGTGCCTTTCCATTCAACTGTTACCGCAAATTCACCATGTAAATTTGGAATGCTTATTACTGACAAGGGAAATTATCTTGTCAACCTGAATTGCCTTTTTGTTTGCATTATCTAATTGCTCTTTTAATGCTTCCTATCTTTCTCCAGTCTTCCACACAAAAATTACTATATTGGGTTAACCCTATTGTCAAAGGTTTCACGTATCTGTTGCCGTTTCTCCATTTCCACAGCTGGCACTTTGGTTTGAGCAGCACAACGTAAATCTGAAGTGCTTGCCAAGCAAGTTCCCCTTGTCTAGAGGCACAAGCTCTTCCCATTACCCTCCTCAATTTAGAGTTGTGTTTGGTTGTGTATGGGAGCATGCATGCGAAGCTGCTACTAAGTGCTTCATCAGGGTTGGAGACAGAGCTCAGCAAAGCTGATGAGTCAAGTGTAGGAATGCAGCTGATCCTTGATACACATAAAAACTGGGCTAAGCATGAAATCTTGGAACATTTTCTACATTCTGAATAAGAGCAGAAGCCAGTTAAGGAGATGAAATGAGCTGGAAGGGTTAAGAGAAAACTAAAAATGTGGCTTCAAAGTGGAAAGAATTCTCAAAGATTCAGCACTACACATGAGCTTGTACAAAGACAACCAGGTCAGGGTGGTGTTGTGACATAGAAGGTAAAACTGCTGTCTGATGAAGCAATCTCATATGGGCACCAGTCCAACTCCTAGCTGCTCCACTTCTAATCTGCCGCCTGCTCATTTGCCTGGGAAAGCAGTTGCAGATTACCAAGTGCTTGCACCCACACCATAAACAGAGAAGAAGCGTTTGGGTTCAGTGTGGGTCAGCCCTGGTCCTTGTGGCCATAAGGAAAGCGAATCAGCAGGTGGAACATCTGTGTCTCTGCCTCTCTCACTCTTTTTTTTTAAAGATTTATTTTTATTATTTTTTCATTGGAAAGGCGGATATACAGAGAGGAGAGACAGAGAGGAAGATCTTCCGTCCGATGATTCACTCCCCAAGTGAGCACAATGGCCGATGCTATGCTGGTCCAGAGCCAGGAGCCTCTTCCGGGTCTCCCACGCGGGTGCAGGGTCCCAAAGCTTTGGGCCGTCCTCGACTGCTTTCCCAGGCCACAGGCAGGGAGCTGGAAGGGAAGCGGGGCTGCCGGGATTAGAACCGGCGCCCATATGGGATCCCGGGCGGCAAGGCGAGGACCTTTAACCACTTGCGCCACCGCGCCGGGCCCATGCCTCTCTCACTCTTAAACTCTACCTTTCTAGTAAATAAATCTTAAATCTGTCATTTCAGGAGAATAATTAGTATAGAGGCTATGTCTGAAGCCAGGAGCCAAAAGCTTCCTCTGGGTCTCCCATGCGGGTGCAGGGTCCCAAAGCTTTGGGCTATTCTGCACTGCTTTCCCAGGCCATAAACAGTGAGCTGGATGGGAAGCAGGGCCACCGAGATTAGAACCAGCACCCATATGGGATTCCAGGCATGCAAGGTGAAGACTTTAGCTGCTTGACTACCACACAGGTCCCTCTAATTCATTCTTAAGCTCTACTCAGTAGAAACCTATTGTGTATTTCTAACATTCTGAGTATGTTTCGCGAGTGAGATGATTTGGATGTCTTGGTAATATATACAAGTTATATTTTGTTGACATAAGCTATTGTTCCCTTAAGCTTTCCGGGGTTGGTGTATTGTCTGCTATTTCAGAAGCTGGCCAATTCCATTGTATTTCACAAAAAGTCTATTCCTATTTTAAGTGAGAATGAAAAGAGCCAATAGAGGAAACATTTAAAGTGACTTAAGGAGGGGCCAGCACAAGGGTTCAACAAGCCAACCCTCTACCTTCAAGCACCAGCATCTCTTATGGGCATCACTTTGTGTCCTGGCTGCATCACTTCCCATTCAGTTTCCTGCTTGTGGCCTGAGAAAGTGGTAGAGGATGGCCCAAGTTCTTGGGACCCTGTACCTGCATGGGAGACCTGGAGGAGGCTTCTGGCTTCAGATTGGCTGAACTTTGGCCATGGCAGCCATTTGGGGAGTGAACCAGCAGATGAAAGATTATTCTCTCGGTCTCATCTTCTTTCTGTAAATCTTTCTTTCTAATAAAAAAGTAGACAAACCTTTAAAGTAACTTAAGGAGAGGTATTATTTGAGCTATTGTTATCTTGAAAGAGGGTAGAAAGGGTTCGGCATGGTAGCCTAATGGCTAAGTCCTTGCCTTATATGCACGCTCCAGAATCCCAGATGGGCACTGGTTCATATCCCGGCTGCTCCACTTCCATCCAGCTCCCTTCTTGTGGCCTGGGAAAGCAGGAAAGGATGGCCCAAAGCCTTGGGACACTGCACCCACACATGGGTAACCTGGAAGAAGCTCCTGGCTTCTAGCTTCGGATCAGCTCAACTCCTGCCATTGCAGGCACTTGGGGAATAAATCAGCAGATGGAAGATCTTAAAAAGAAATGAAGGAAAATGAAATGAAAGATATGAAACAGCCTTGAGAAAGAAGAGTCTTACTTTTCAGTCAAGAAGATGGAAGGACCTTGATGTTAGAATGAAGAGTGCAACCTACTCTTCTTACTCAACTTCCCGTTTCCCTGCCCCTCACCTCAGGTGGGTTGCATCATAGTTATTTGGCGGCCCGGGAGGAGTCCGGTGAAAGGTTGAACAAAGCAAGAAGAGGCAGACCAAGAAATAAAGGAGTGCTTTGCCAGTTGACCTCGGGAGCACAAGGGAAAATGAAACGTGGCTGGTCCTGCTCTTTAGGTTCAATTCCCTTCACTGGCAACTACAGTGGTTATGTTTTGAGGGGAGTGTGAGAGACGGGAGACCTCCATCCCATTGGCAGTTGAGAGGTGGGGTGCACTGAGCCCACTGCTTCATAGAAAGAGTGTTCTGAAAGTTGGTAACCTTCTCTGGCCACCCTGCCTTCGGACAGGCTTCTAAAAATCGTATTTTCTCACACTGTGTTTTCATGCCGTATCCGCTGTCTTGTGTATCATTTCAGTGCACATGCTAGTAAATGTCATATATTTCCCTAAAGTGGTGTGTAAGAGCCTCACTTTTTCTATTCATTCTCAACCAGAGTAAGAGTGTTTCTCAGAGCTGCTTGTGGTAAGGAGCCAAACTGGCCCTGGGCAGTCTGGGCCAGAATCAAAAGTCTTACGAAAGCTACGAAGTTAGGAAGAATAAGAGATGTGTGGGTTTTTTTGTTTGTTTTATTGTTGCCAGTGAAAGCAAGAAGTCAAGGGGAGAGAAGAGTGTTTTTAAAATTTCTACCATGAATCACCCTAAAAGCTACAGGTTTGAGATGTAGAGCCATTAAAAAGAAACACATTTTGCATTTGAGCAAAAAGCTGCATTATCATTACTGTGTTTTTCCAGATAGTAAGCATGGCTCAGTGGTGGTTTTTCTCCTAAACCTTTGTTGCAGCCTCTTTTCTCCTGCCCTCTCCTCCTCAGTGGTAAAAGATGTAGCAGGGCGGGCGTTTAGCCTGATGGGTAAGAAGGCCATATGCCTCAGGGCTGCATTGCTGGCTCCACTTTCCCTGTTATACTGACCCTGTGAGGCATGGTAATGACGTAGGTCATTGGCCCCCTACCTCCC